AAGAGGGAAGGAGTAGGAGCCAAAGCTGAGCCTTTCCCAAGTTTGAGGTGTCTGTAAGGGGCTTTTAAACCAGCCGAGGCTGTTTTTATGTATCTGGTTTTTTAGAGAAGGGTTTAACTTGGCTTAATTCTGCTCCCAGTGCGTGCCCTTTAGACTTTGCACTTTAATTACCAGAAGATTGTTTAAAAGCTACAACGATAAGAAAAACCTTCAACACAACGGTCACATACAGGCAGTTTTAATCTCAAGGGCTGTTTATATGTTAGTGCTGTTCCTGAGCAGGGGTTGACAGGCTGATTAATAACTATAAAATATATATTATATATATAACTATAAAATATATAATATAAAATAACTATAAAAACATTTTGACTCGTAGCAAAAGAAAGTGTTTAATTGAAGGGATGTGTCTCCCAAGCACTAGCAAGATGTGCTGTATTGCTCTTGCCTTTTGGATGCCCCGTGTACATTTATTCTCATCCTGATTTCCCCCCCCCCCCACCATCAGTTAAAAAAGGTGACTGCGGTCTTGCATCATTTGTAATTATTTGATTATTTTTTGCACGTGTTAAACTGCTTTTGCATGGAAAGCAGGATTCACTTACAAAGTGAATCCACGATACTTGAGAATATTAGTTAACCAAAAATGCACTAAATATATGGGATACCTCAGGAGAAAGCTGTGGGTTTGGAAAAAGAAGCAAACTGAAGTGAGCTGGTGGCATTTGGCTGGGTTAATCGCCACGGTCTCACCAGGCTCATGGCTGCTGAGACCATGGTGATTACTGGTGGCAGCAGACCCAAGCCTTGAGCTGAGCTCTTGTTTCCCAGCTGAAGAAATTTCATTCCTCTGTTTTCAGAGTGTGTGTGTCCCGTCCGCCCCCTCCCTGATGCCTATTTTCCAAGCTTTGAACTACTTACGGAGCAAGTTGGCTGTGGAAGTTTAATAAGCCTTCCCCTCTCACAGAAGAACCTGTAACAAACCAAAGCCAGATTATATTAAATGAGGTGCTCAAGCAGTGCTTTTTCCCTTAGTTTCGTGGCTCGTCTGCCTTTAAAATGTTAGCCTGATAAATATTTGTATGATGTTTAATATAAATAAACCCTATGCCTTATTGTTTATTTTAAAAGATATGCTAACCAATAATTTTCATCTCCTCAGCTTAAATATTTCCAACAGTATGGATGCCATAGGAGCTCCCATACAGCAGCTCTGAGGACGCTGTAACGCCTTTGTCTTGCCTGCTGCGTCCTCTGCTGCTGGAGCTCCCTGCATTCCCCCTGATTTTGGGGGTGATGGGGCTTCTAAGAGTCGGTGTGACTAGCTTCAAACACTTTGAGATCTGACTCGTGTGTGTTGTGTTGTTCTGCTGAGTCTGCAGCTACTTCTGCTCATATCTCCTAGCCCTTAGTCCTGCACACCCCTAATTAGCCACCCCGGGGAGCCAACAAGCCCGGCCAGGCACGAGGGTACCCGGGGGAGCCAGCATGCCCGGCCAGGCGCGAGGGCGCTGCCGCACGAGGCTCTGCAGTAACACCTTTGCCTCTCGCTCTTGCTCGCAGGAATCTACATCCTGATCGCGGTCGGAGCCGTCATGATGTTTGTGGGGTTCCTGGGATGCTACGGTGCTATTCAGGAGTCTCAGTGCCTTCTGGGAACGGTAAGAGGCGCAAAGCTTCGGATGCTGCTTGGCACCATGGTGTCCCTGCCGTGCCTCTGCCGGGTGGCACACAGCCGTGCTCCCCTCACTGGAGGGGTTTGCCCCAA